TGTGTCTTGATTAAACTGCAGCCAGAGTGCTTCTTGGAGGCAAAGATGAGAGGCTTCATCTCTCATACTTCGGAAATACAGCTAGATGAGGCTATTCTTGGAAAGGGCCATCATGCTTGGAAAGATGGAGGATCAACTAGGAAGAGGAAGAACTCCAACAAGATAAATTAACACAGTGACTTCAGAAATGGGTTTAATGTGTCAGAGATGATGAGCACGGTACAGGATAGGTCAGGGTTCCGGTCGGCTGTTCATAGGGTCATTATGAGTTATACTCAACTTGGCAGGCACCTAAATATAAGAACATTGGATTACACCATGCCTGCCCTCAAATAGCAAAATGTTGTTGGAGAAAAGATTGTCAATTTGTCACTTGACCAGTCTCAAACAGGCTTTCCTGCATTCCTGCACTACTACCAGAATATTTTCAATTTTCTCACTTCAATTTTCCCAGAATGACCATTTGTGATATTTCCTCTTGTCAGAGGGATGTTGGCTGAAAGCAGTGAAATACTAAAAAAAAAGTTTACCCTGTGTCTTATTGACTATGAATGTAAAGGCATTCAAACTGTCTAGATCCCAACAGATTGTGAATAATATTGCTAATATTCCAGAGCGCATGTGTACCTGTGGAACTTATATACAGACCAGTGATCAGTCATTTCAACAGGACAAGAGGTTACCGTTGAGTTAAAAGCAGAAAAAAAAGTGCATCAATGTGTATTCTTTCACCATGATTATTCAGTCTGTATGTTGAGCAAATAATCTGAGAAATTGTACTATATGAAGAACACAGCGTTATGACTTTATGACTGGAGGAAAAATTGTTAGCAATTTGGGATATGTAAAAGAGATTGAGATTGTTTACAGCTTTAGTTTGTTTGGCTCCACAGTCAACACTCTTGGCACCAACAACCAGAAAATTAAAAAACATATTGCAATGGGAAAGTCTGCTTTTAGGGACCTCTCCAAAGTACTGAAGAGCAATGGTGTCACTCTGGAGATTAAGGTATGCCTGATATAGGCCATGGTCTTTGCAATCACTTGCTATGAGTAACTAGACAATGACTAGGGAGGATAAAAGGAGAATTGATGCCTTGGAGCTGTGGTGTTGGAGAAGAGTATTGAATATACCATGAACTGCTAAGAAAATGAACAGATGCAACCTGGAGAGAGTTAAATCAGGCTGCTTCTTGGAGGCAAGGATTCTGAAGCTTCATCTGACATACTGTGGACATGTTGCAAGGAGGGACTGACTAGTCCTTGGAGAAGGACGTCATGTTTGGGAGGGTGGAGGGACAGTGCAGGAGATGGATTGATTCAGTGACTGGGATAATTGGGGTAGTTGAAGACCGTGAGCTTGGCATGGGATAGAGCAGGGTTAAGAGCTGTTGTACACTATGAGTCGCAGGCACATAATAACAATAGACAACAACAAGTTTGTAGTAATGTAGTAATTTGTGACAGCAACAATAAGAAACTCAAACACTCCTGCTGCCTATAACATTATCACCATCTTACTTGCCCAGCTACCATAGGATGGGTCTCTAACAAATCTTTCTACAACAGTCAGGTGATGATTAAAAATAAGCAACCTGATCAAAACTGCCTAGCGGCTTTTTAGCTGTTCAGAATAAAACCCCAGTTCTTAACTGAGGTCCACAAAGTTACAATCTTGGGTACTTCTCTAGCTTTTTTGGAAATCACTCTCCCCCTGGTCTACCTTTCTCCAGTCTCTCTGGCTGTAGAGGCTTTGCAGTAGCCATTTCTTCTATCTGAATGCCCACCTCCTCTACATGACTAGTTGACTGTCTCCTCCATATCTTCTTATTTGAACTCCAAAATCATCTTTCCAGAAAAAAAACCCCATGGCTTTCCAATCTAAATTAGTCTTCCAGGACCTCCCTAATATTTCATATTGGGGTTTATTTAAGTTATTTCTTCCTTTCACTGCTGGGTATTTCCTTATCCATTTATGGATTTCTTTCTCATTTATTCTTCCCACTAGACTGTCCCCTCAGTTAGAATAAGAATTTTTTTTTCTCTTAAAAGCTACCTTTTGCATTTAAATCTAAACCTGCACTTTAGGAAGTGCTCCAGTAGAAGGAAGGAGACCATTAAAGAATATGGCCAGGGAAGATTTCTCAGTAGTAGAAATGGAGATGTCTTCCTGGCTGTTTGTATTCTTTTTAGAAAAACCAGGGGAGAAGGGAACTTGAAAAATAGCCTCTGATATGATGTCGAACAGGGTGTGGGGGAGGGGAGGTTTAGAACTGATGTAAAAACAATCTACCAGCTTTATTCCGGCAGAGGGGGTATAGCTCAGTGGTAGAGCATTTGACTGCAGATCAAGAGGTCCCCGGTTCAAATCCGGGTGCCCCCTTGGCTACATTTAGCACAAATTGGTTTTTCTCATCTGATTTCGAAACTGTACCTCCCTGAAGCCATTGTTCTTTAGACTCTGGAAAGTGTGTTTTATGTGCTGGAGTTTCTTTTTCAAATGTTTAAACGAGAGTTAACAGCCATGAAGTCTGAGCCGGGTACCTGTAATTGCTGCCAAGAAGTCCATATGTAAGATTATATTAAATATAATGAAGATTTAAAAATTTATTTACTAACTGGTCTAATGATTATTCTCATTTGTTTATGGAACAAAAAAAATGGCGTGTCGGGAGCAGGGTGTGGTGGGAAACAGCATTATTTCCCAGTTTATTCTATCAAGAAAATCAGAAAAAATGAATTCAGATTTGCAATATCTCGACAATTCATTATATTTAACAAGCGATGGTGTAGAATTAAAGTTGTTCTTGTTGTTATGTGCCATCGAGTCGCTATGTACAAAGAGCTCTAAACGCCGTCTCAGAGACTGAGAATTAAAGTAGAAGGTAAAAATTGCCTGGCATTTGTTCTTTGCTATGCTGGTTCCTAGATTAGGCGTTTTGCGTGAGAACCTGTGGGTAACAAGTTCAAGGCCTCTTAATTGGAAAAAGGAATGAAAAGTGGCATATTTCTTGCGTCTCATCAAGCATCCTTCTTATTCTTCCTCCAAGTCCAGTTTTGCCATCCAGTCCACAGTAATGGTAGTCATATGTTTTTAAAAAAGGAGAAAAACTTCACCAAAACCCAAACCTCTCCTGGGGCCGGAGGCATGACACAACCAGATTCCAGGTTTAAAATATCTCTCAGCTGCCCCCTGACCCAGGCAGCGTGTCTTTCCCCGTCTTAATTTTTCCTTTTTTGGGGCAAAATCAGTCGAAGAGGAAGTTCGTTCCTGCTTCCCTTTTTACACACTTTATATTTCCCCCTAGCCTAATAGTGGCACTGTTAGTCACGCAACTGGCAGTTATCAGTTCCCATCTGAATTATAAAACTTGATGGCGTCATTAAAAGATAAAATTATTTTACTGTGACCCCAGGAACCAGAAACATCAGCATCATTTGTGAAATTGTTAGAAACACAAATATTTGGTACTTAATTCCAGATCAACAAAATCAGGTCTAGGGAAAAAAGAAAGAAAGAAAAAGAGAGAGAAGAAAGAGAAAGAGAGAAAGTGCTCTACTGGAAGAAACTGGGGTAAGTGAGGTGTTTCACCACGTCCTTCAGGGGTTCTTGTGCAAGCTCAAGTTTGAGAACCACTGTATTAGATTATACTCGGTTGCATCTGATTAACACTTTATTTTTGCAATTGAAAATGAGTTTATGAGTGTGCAATTTGAAGAAGTCAATGTGTCCCTGGAATCTGCCCCTCAATCCCGCCTGGCACTTCTTGGGGCTGATGGCCTTGCGGCAGAAACCCTGAACCCACGGGCAGGTTTTGTACCTGATTTTTGCGCGAATCTCCCTCCTCCTACTTCCGTTGAGCACAAAACAAAACAGAAAGCACTTTCCGCTAGGGCTGAAAAATGAAGAAGAGGCCTTTTAAAATTTTTGCTTTCTTTTAATATAAAACTCAATGTTCTAGTATTAGCACTCAAAGTTAAAACAGTGGAGCTAGGAAAGAATGAGATATACAACAGAAATAATTATAGAAAAGAGACTCTTAGAGGGGGCACCCGGATTTGAACCAGGGACCTCTTGATCTGCAGTCAAATGCTCTACCACTGAGCTATACCCCCACACCGCGATAGAGCCTGAAAACGGCTCTTTTGAATGTTCGCACACTATTGCCTCTGCTCCACTGAGCGTGTGAGGTGGTAACTAGGAGAAACAAACCAAGCAGAGAGGGGGCAGGCACAGGGTGTAGGAATCCTGAAGATCCCGTAGAAAGCTACACCGCAGAGGTGCAGAGAGGGTAGAACTAGCCCAGCCGTGAGCCGCAGAATTGGAGTAGGAGGAACTGGTCCGACACTGCAATGGGCGGACGGGGGGGAAAGGGTGTGTTGGGGGAGGGAACTTAGCTGAGGGGCGGGGCAGGTGGTTCCCGCTCAGTGCTCAGGTTCACCCCAGGTACGGGCAGCTCCAAGGACAGTCCCCAGTTAATAAAAATGCCCCGTGGTCAGGCTGGCCGGGCGTTCAGGATGGACGTGCGGGGTCGGTCTGATCACTTCCTACAGTCTGGTGCCCTGAACGTGTAGTTAGACCCGCTGTATTACTGCTCCCCGTGCAGGAGGAGCCTGAGGTGAAGCGGGGTCCCCGCACAGGCCTCCGTGAGCGCCTCTCCCGTTCCCCGTCCGCCAGGGCGCGCAGGGGCGCGGGGACTCTCGGACGCACCTCGGCGCGCACCCCCGGCCCCGCAGGCCTCCCCCGAACCCGCCCCCGCGCAGCCCCACGTCGCCCGGGGAGCGCGCCTCGCCGCCCGCGCCCGCGGCGCGTCCCCGCCCCGTGCAGCCCCTCCTCCCCGGCGTGTTTATTAGGGGAAGGAGGGCGGAGGCGGAGGCCAGTTCCCCAGATCCAGCCGCCGTCTGCGGAGTCGCAGCCGCGGACGCCTCTCGCCGGCACACCCCGGGGACTGAGAACGCGCGCGAGCTCGGGCGCCCCCGCCCCAACCTTTCCGGGAGACATGAACCCCAACTGCGCCCGGTGCGGCAAGATCGTGTACCCCACGGAGAAGGTGAACTGTCTGGATAAGGTGAGTCCCGGACCAGAGCTTTTTTTGCAATCCCCGAGTGCACGAATTGGGGGTGGTGAGAGGGGCCGGGTCTAAGGCGATCCCGGGAGGAAGGAAGGGAGGGTGGTGTCATGGGGTGTGGGGGCAGACCCCGGGCAGGGACCAGGGGCGAGGCCAAGAGTCCACGCGTGGAGGGCAGGTACTCCTGGGCAAGAGTGGGCACCGTGCCCAGGGTGGGAGGATGGCAGGGGAGCGGTGAAGTCTGTCCGCTGGGGGATTTTTAGGGGTGCAGTCCCGCCCCCTAAGGCCGGGAGAGTGTGAGGAGACGGCCGCTCCCTCTGCGCTGAGCAGAGCGCCAAGTAGGCGGAAGCGCGGGGCGCTGGGGGAGGGGGCGGCGGGGGGCGGGGCAGAGACTGGGGGGCCCCCAAGAAGCCATCCCCTCCGGTCTCAATGGCCTTAGTCATTTGACCCGGAGATTGCGAAGCAGAGTCTATCAGCCGGCGAGTGTTGCATATAGTATAGGGGGCATTGGAGAAGGACCTGAACCCCACCGTGGGGGCCCCCCCGACCTGAAGCCCCCGTAGTGTTTTCGAGGTTAATAGACTACGTATCAGATCTCCTCCCAACCCTCACCTCAAATTAAAAGCCAACACTGGATGTTGGATGGCCTGGCCTGGCCCGGGCGGGGTCCTATTCTAGAGTGGGGGGTGTGGGGAAAAAATTTCGCAGAGATCTCCTGAAATTGTGCTCGAGACTGGAGACCGGCTTGTAGAACAAAGAGCTAACTTTTCACAGCAGGTTTCCCCAATGGAGGGTGGGGTTGGCTGAGTTCTGGGGAACCCAAGAAAAGAGGAATATATTTGGGGGTGAAAGAGGGTGGCCTTCTGGAAATTCCTTGTCCCCTGTGGCCCCATCTACCCCTCCGTGCTGGACTCCTTCATCTGGTTGCCATTATACTTTTGTAAAGTACAACTGGGTGTTTCCATCATAGTTTGGATCTGATCCGGTCCTCGTGGAAGCTCCCTAAGATCTAAAGAAGCCAAAATTTGACCCCCCTCTACTTTCCCTCCCCAGACAGGAACAGGCCCCTGGGATTTTTGTTTCTCTCTCCATTTGCCTTTCCACCCACCTCCTAGAGCTGGCTCCAAGTTCAAATATTCCCCACCTTTCTGAATTCGCTGGGATAGGGGCAAGGTACTGGATGGGTGAGGCACAGGGCACTAGGGCCAAGTTCATTGCTGACCTGAAACTGGGTTTGTTTGGGAAAGGATAACTGGAATAGTTGTGTCACCCCTCCCATTTGGGCTGGAGTGACCCTTGACCTCTGAGGCAGCGTGAAGAGGCCAGGTTCTGGAACACTTTTAAAGGTTGACTGGGGGAGAAGAGAAAGGGGACAGGTGTGGGCAGAAGGGGAAGGTACTGACCTTTGCAGTGACCATTCCAGCCTCTGGAAGGTGCGACATGGGCTTGAATGGTCCCCCTGAGAAGTTATATCTCTGCACCTTGGGGTCTTTGTTCTTGTCTCAGAGTGAGGGGTTTTGGCCTCCATACCTGCAGTTCTCGATATTTCCTTTTGCTTGTTAGTCATGAATTGGAAAGAGACTGTGGCCACTTCCATTCGTAAAAAGCCCATATGATGGAGAGATGGCTAGGCTGCATATTAAGAAACTGCTGTCTTCGTTCCAGGCCAGCTCCTGCCTGCTTTCTGAATGCCTCAGGGCCTCAGTTTTTGCCATCTGCCAGATGGGGTATACTGATGGCAGTTCCTTGGAGATAGGGCAAGTTCCTTGAAAAGCACCTCTTGAAAGGTTTGGAAGTTCTATTGAAACTGTACTGGAGGCCTGAAATATCCAGGTGTCAGACCTAATTCTTCACAACCCCCTCCAGGCTGTAAAGTCAGGCTGAAGGGATATTGTGCAGAGACCTGGGATGGGGAACTTTCAAGTCCCATAGGAACTGTTGCTAGCCAACTTCCTGAGGCTCTCTCCTTTTACTAGAGAATCAAATTAGATGACTCTGTTCCCCTGCAAGTCCCCTATGGCACTTAATCCACTGCATGGCTCAAAGCATGAGTGCTTTCTCCAGATTAGCCTTTTCTCCTTCCTGAGCCCTGTCTCCCAAAGGTAAAGGTGAGCAGAGCAGAGGCTGTGTCACTTCCTACTGGCTGCCCCTCCCCCAACCTGCAGTACCCTGGGTGCTCTGCACACTAGATAAATATGTATTGCTGATGACTGTGTTTGAGGAAGGAGGTCGAAAATTTGCTTCCCCCTGAGGACTTCTGGGTCTAGGGTTGGGGGAGAAACAAGGTGACCTCATTCTCTCATTCATTCTGCAAATATTTATTGAGCACCAACTTTATTCCAAGCGCTCTGAAGGGCTGCCATAGGGCCTTTGGGGAAGGAGAGAGGCCTTGTCTTTGTTTTCTGTCAGCCATGTGTTGTTTGCAATTTGAGTGAAGTAGAAAGTTCTATCCCTGGCCTTGGTAGGGAGTGTTTGTTTCTGGGGACCTACAGTGTCAGGCTTGCCTCAGGTTATCTGACCCCCTGGGAGCAACAGGATAGAAGGAAGCTGGACTGGAGAGTGAGATGCCTGGGTTCAAGGACACAAAAGGAGATAAGTTCTTGCAGCTGTAGCATGGAGGCTGACAGAACCCCACAGTCACCTTGTGACCTTCAATAGAACATAATACCTTCAACTTACGATGATGTGCCAGGTCTTCACAGCAGCCTCACAAAACAGGTCTTATTTTAAGCTATAAACCCCATAAACTGAGGCTCAAATGCGAGGTGTGACTTTGCTCTTTTTCTTAGAGCTGGACTTCAATTCCATAGTTCTACACTCTGTTATGTTTGCTGGCAAAAAAAAGGACTTTTGAGTTACACTGTCTCTTCAGTGTAACTCTTCATTGTAATCACTTCAGGGTTCCAGGCCTTCCAGACCCTGGGTAGCTGGGACACTAGCAATAAAAATCTCCCCTTGGAATTCGTGGAGCTACAGCAAAGGTGCAGAGATAGTCTTTGCCTTTAAGCCAGCACCTTAGGTGGTCAAATGAGCTGGTGACCTGGCCAGGGTGGGGCTACTGTTGCCCCTAGAGAAGGGAGAAACTGTAACCCTGTTGAACAGGAAGGGAGGAGAAAGCTTGTGCTTCCAAGCCTGAATCACAGCCATCCCCTCCATCAGCCAGTACAGAGGGCAGTGTGCCAGGCTGCCAGTAACAGTAGCAACCTGAAGCTTGCTGCCTTGCCTCCCAAGGCCACTCTCCCTTAGGTCCAGTTGATGAATCCAGAAGACTGGGGCTTGTCCAAAAGTCCTCCAAGTGAGGGGGATCCCCTACAGGACTTCTTCCTCTTGAAGCCTCAGTTTGCCTTTCTGTAGTATGGGTTGCCATTTTGAAGCCTCAGCGTGTCAAGAGTAAATGAAACTCAGCTGGAGCCTGGGAGGTGGACTGAGAGCCTCCTCAGAGCTTCGGTCTTGGTCTCAGGCAGTTTGGGAGTTTGGGTTTCTGTTAATATGGAAACAATGGATTTGCAGGAAGCAGGCTGGATTAGAGTTGCACGCCCAGAGGTGTACTTTGCTCTCTGGAGTCACAAGTTTCAGGAATGCTTCTCTGAAATCATCTTACCTGGGGCCTTGCAGACGAGGATCTCTATGGGTCCATATAGATTTATTTTTATGATTGTCTTTTATCAGATCCCATCATGTTTGAGACGCGGTTGAGGCTTGGCCTTGGTCAGCCCACCAGGGCTATTAAGTAGTGACTTGTCATATTCTGCTTCCCTTTCCCACAGCTTTCCTATGCCAAAGAGTGCAGAATAGCAGAAACTGCTGGGTTTTCTTTAAACTTTAATCTTGGGACCCTCTTCTAGAGAGGCACGAAGCACCTAGAGGTGCCAGGTACTACGCTAAGTGTGGATCCAAAATCCTTTCTCGTTCCAGCACCTTTGTGAGACCCACTGTGTAGATGTGGAGACTGAGGTCAGTAGCAAGCCTGATAGCACTCAGTTTAATTTTTCTGCACTGCATTTCCCTGAACAAGAGACCCATGTGGCTCGCTCTAGCTCCTCAGCCCTCAACTATGTCTAGCTGAGGGCAAGGGTTCTTTTGGGATGAAGTGGGGCAAGGTGGCTATACAAGTGGCACCATCACTTTGTGTAGAGCCTCCTCTTCCTCCAGGGGCAGCCTGGAGGCATCTCATGGAAAGTACTCCTCACCCCAAGTATGAGGGTATATGCTCACTGCTCCCTTCCTCCAGGGGGCTTGGGTCATCTGGGGGGCAAGGGAGTGTCTGTCTGCCTTTCTCTCCCCAGGTCCATCAGGGAGGCAGCCTTTGGCAATCCCCTGTGCTAGGACAGTGTGTATTCCCGTGTATGTGTGTGAAAGTGGGTCATGGTCTGGATTCCGGAGAATGTTTTTCCTGGCAGGCCCCTGTGGGGATGGGGGGAGGCAGGGGCCCAAGCAGGGGCATGTGCGGCTAGGCAGGCAGAGGCCAGCAGACTGGGTGGTGACAGAGCCAGGGCACTCTGCCAGTGCCTCCCAGTCATGGGGCAAGGGAAAGGGTCTGTCCTTTAGGGGTTGATGGCAGCAGGGGCTACCCTATTTCAGTTTCATGCGTGTGTGTTGGGTTTTGTACCAGGAAGAGCCTGGAAGTTGCTGAGTGGCTGGGGCTCTGGGACTGACCTGAAAGTATGGTAGGGCTGGGAGCTGCCAAGGCTAGGATTCAAGCTTTCACCCCATCTCAGTTATCCCGTTACTTCCAGACTTCCACTGTCCTTCTTGCCAGGATTATCATTCTGCTGTCACAGTGTCTAACAGTTCATCATAAGAGATTCCTGTGGGTCTCCTTACCAGGGAAAGTACCCTGTTAGAAGTCATCTATCCTCCAAGTGGCTCCCATGGCCTCTGTTGAAGTGGACTGGGGTGAGAGGAGATAATATCACAACTTCTCGGCTTCCTTTTTCTAATCCTTCTTCCAAAGGTCCTAGAAGCACCTCTTATCTTAAGAACACATTTGGAAGAACATTCTTGAGGGAGTCCTTGACAGATGGCCAAGGACCGTGTGACTGAGCATCTTCACAAAGGGGCCTTCCCTGGCCATTGGCCTCATCCTTTTGGCGGTTGACGAATCCTTGGCTGCTGGGAGATGGGGCAAGGACAGGCTCACCGAGTTATCCAGGCCTTCTGGATTCTGTGATCTGGGCAGCTGATCTGAGGCTTCAGCCCGGGAGTCATAGGAGAATTTGGTATCGTTTGCATAGGTTTTGCCTGAGCAGCAGTGATGCGTCACATCTATTGCTTTTTTCTCCTTCTCTTGTTACCTTTAGTGTTGTTCCCTCCATCAGTCACAGTGGACTGGTTCTGATTGTGGGGTTGCAGGGGCCCGAACTTTGTGAGTCTTCCCCTCTCTCAAATGCCCACATTGTAATTGTGATTGAACAGCACAGAGTCCTATGTGCATCACCACGCCCGACCCCGCTAGTGTGACCCTCTGAACCCCTGGCTGAGGGTTGCATCTGCTGCCTCTAATTCCTAAAAGGTGCCAGGTACTGTGCTGAGAGCTTTGTAAGTAATTTCAGACTTAATGCTTACAAGAGGTCTTATATCCATTCTGCAGATAGGGAAGTAGGCTTAGAAGTGTGGGATATATGCCCATGGTCATATAGGTAGTCATGGCTTCAGTGCCAGTTATTGGGTGTCCAGCGCCAACACTTAAGCAGAGCTCTTCAGTCCTCTTGTGGAAGAGAAGCTGTTGGGTGATAGCCCACCCAGGGTGGGAGGAAGCTTGTGGAAGGGGCAGAAAGGTGTTGGTGGCTAGAACTTGGGGTGCCCAACTCAGTCCTCTAACTGGAGTCCCACAGGAAACAAGGTATCAGAACTGGAGCACCTCCAGGGGCTCATGGGGGAACTTGTGTGTGTCTCTCTTGAGGGGCTTCCAGGGGGTCCATTCCACTCCCTAATGGGAAACACACATTTCCACCCCAAGCTGTATGTAACCAGAATCTACAGTCGAATAAGGTGGTTGGTTCTTCTGTACACAGACTCTTACCTGTACAGTAGAGAGAATGTGGCGTTTGAAGCCCTGGTATATGGTAAACCCCAGCTGTAGGAGCTGAGAGGGCCTGCTTTACGGGTCTGGAGGCTTGGGGGCTGGGCTCTTCACTGGGCCCTGCCAGGCTAGGGAGTGGGCCCCTTCTTGTTCAGCAGCTGCTTCTTAGCAACCCTAGTGTAGCTTTGCATAAGCAATTAGGCCACTCTGGCTCTGTGGCAGGAGGAGTGGTCTAGGGAGGTGGAGCTGACCTTTTGGGGGCTGCTTGCCTCCTCTGTAATTGATCTCTTCACCACTCCCCCTTCCTGTCTGCACCTTCCCCTCCTGACAGCTCAAATGGCTGACTGGTAGGGGGCAGGGGAAGGGAGTGGAGAGTGTCATCAGTTACAGGGCCTGAGGTGTCCCCAAATCCACCTAGTGGAATCTGACGTTCTCCCCACAGTAGTGGGCTGGAGCAAGACCCCAGGCTGGCATATCTCCTTCATGGTCTGAGCCTTGGTCCCCTTTCCTAAAGTCCTGGTGTCTGATGGGTGTTCTCCCTCTGCCTCTGTCCCCAGTTCTGGCATAAAGCATGCTTCCACTGCGAGACCTGCAAGATGACACTCAACATGAAGAACTACAAGGGCTATGAGAAGAAGCCCTACTGCAACGCGTGAGTCCTGCACGGGGCTGGGTGGGCGCCTGGGCTCCCCCCTTCCTGGCTCGTCCTCTCCCCTTCTAATAACTACAAGATTCATTACTGACTCCTCCTCTTTATAGGTGGATGAAGTGAGGGCTTTTATTACCTCCCATTTTATAAATGAGTAAGAGTGAGACTTGGAGAAGGGAAGGGACTTTCCCAAGATCACATGCCTAGTGAGAAACTCCTTCAAGCCCTGACTCTGGGCCATGGAGCAAGCATTGTTCTTAACACTGAGAGATGGACGGAGGGGTTCTTTCAAGGAGTGATTGCCCTTGTTTCTGCCCCTTTTGTGTGTGGTTTTGAGCCTTTTCCTCGCCTCCTCATAGTACATGGCTGTCTCCTCACCTCACCTCTCTCTGACCAGAAGATTTCTATGCTTGGCTTTGGGGCTTCCCTTCTTAAGAAAACTCTCTGGGGTCCTGGTTCCAGCCCCTCCTGATGTTCCTTTCATGATAAATAGGGGTACCAGATTATGGGATGGCTAGACGCCTTCTTACTCCCTAGTGGAGGGCGGCTGTGGCAGAGCCACTCTGGGGCCCAGCTGGTTTGGACTGTCTTCATTTTGCATTGTGACCTGCTAGGAATGATGTGGGGTCCCCATCCCAGTTTTCAGAGGGACACCCCCTCTCATACCTTGCGGAGTCCTTCCTCTCATCCAAAGTACACTTCCATTGTCAGGTTGACCTCATGCTTCTCCAGTGTCAGGTCAGTGGCACCTGCAGCCTCACAGCCCCCTGCTGGGTGAGGCTTTCAAAGCTCAAGTCATTTGTAAGGAGGTGGCAAGGCCAGTCGACAAACGCAGGGTCTGATTTGAGTCCTTTTGAGTTTTTAAATCCTCAGTCTGGAAGTTTGGCACAGCTTTCATTTGTCCAGGAGAAGTTTGAGAGTTGCCTCAAAGGGCTTGGCTGGTTCTGAGGGTTGATCATTTTTGAAGATACATTGTCTGTCTGCTACTGTATACTCCACCTGTGCCAGGTGCTAGGAAAATGTCTCTCATAAAATGCAAAGCCCAAGAAACAGCAGGAGTAGTGTACTTTCTGGGAAGGACTGGGGCACTTGGGGAGGTGGCCTCAGATGGAGGAAGGGTCACAGCTCTGTCTCAGCCCCTCCTTCAGCTGCCCCTTCTGTCCTTAGCTTCTACTACTGTTCCTCTTCCCTCTACCAGCCCCTCCCAGCCCCCCAAGGGAAATGGGACATTCCTTGAATTCTTAAGGGCTCACACAAGCCCTGATTCTCTGCTGCTTCCTCCCTCCTTTGGGGAGTGGGGTGGGGTTCAGAGAAGCTGGGCTAGTTAACCCCTTCGTTGCTGGACCACTTCAGGCTGTATCCTGAGGGTTCAGGTTCCTTTGGGGGCAGCCTCTGAGCCTCCCTCCACCCCCCTGTAGAAGTCTGACTGGGCTCTTGAGTCCCGTGAGTGGCAGTGTCTGGGTGCTTTTTCCTGTTTTTCCTAAGACTCCCGTGGCCTAGAATCATCCATCAAGCACTGGGAGTTGGAGCAAGCTGTCAGAGGCTTGTCCTTGTTTCTCCCGTATTTTCTTAGCCTAGTGCTTAAGTCCAGGCTTCCTTCTCCCACCCTTTTCTCAGGAGGCTGCAGCAAGAGGGGTGGGAGCTTCTGTTTCGGGGCTCTGTTGTTGTTCAGTGCCACTGAGTTAATTTCAACCCTATGTGACAAGAGTAGAACCAACACCTTCATAGGATTTTCTAGGCTGTAGTCTTTTGGGAAACAGTGCGAGTTCTTTCTCCAGCAGAGCTCCTGGGCAGGTTTAAACGGCCAGCCTTTCACTTAGCAGTCATCTGGCTAAACCAGATGAAGACTAGTCTGCAAAGTGTAGCCTTGCACCCTATCAGAGCCTTTGTTTCCCCACTTAAAAAATAAAGGGGAGGGGAGCTCTGGTGGCCTAGTGGCAAGGAGCTGCAACTACAGTCCCAGAGGCACACAGTTCAAATCCACCAGATACTCTGCCGGGGAAGGAGGGACAATCTCCTCCTGTACCAGTCAGATCTGATTTGACGGTACACGCACACAAAAATAATAATTAAAAAAAAAAGAGTTCAACAGTTGTGAATATACAAAAAATTTGTAAATTGTCCAACAACAAAAAAAAAGGGGTAAATTCCTATGCTGGACTCTAGACCAAGGAGATTTTATTGCTCACTTTCTATGTACCAGGCACTGTGCCAGGTGTTTTCTTCTGGCCTCTGGCCCCATACCTCAGTGACACCCAGTTCCCAAGTCCTGAGTATTCCCGGATGTAGCATTCTCCTGATTCCTGGCTGGACTTTGCCTTCTCCACAGCACCACCCACTGCATCTGGCTAGTCCTGTAGGATGCAGAGGGCCAGGTGGTCTACTGACAGCATGTGGGGAGTTAGGACACACACACACACACACACCCAGTGAGTGAATGTGTGTGGTGCACACAGAGGCATCTTCCCTGGTCAGGTTCTCTAGAGAGCCAGAGTCCTGCAGGAGGGAAGTTAAGAGAGTAGAACTTTCTTTCTTCTGTGACTTCTCAGAACAGGAATTTCAGTTCTGGAAGGGAGCTATAAGCAGTGCAGCAGCTTCTCTTTTTCAGTTTGTGTCAGGTTTGTTTGGTGTGAGGCAAGGGAGAGGACACAGGCTGGAGCTTGAAGAGCCTGCAAGTTGTGATCAACCCCCACATATGTGCATTTCCACATGGGCCTTGTGCCGGCCCAGACACACATGCTGGGGCTGGGGCGAACAGCCAGGAGGCCTGCTGAATGGGCTGCATTTGTGTTCACATGTTCCAGACTGGCCACCCAGGCATTGCCTAGCCAAGGTAGGGGCTGTGTATGCTCACTTTTGTATGATAGCCAGCAATGGAAGAACTATCCTTAATGGGATTCTTTCTTTCTTTTTTTTTTTTTTATTCTTAAAACTTCTAGGTGGGTGGGGTGAGGCGGCTCCATTTGTTCGAGAAATATTTATGCCCTCAAGTATTTATTGTTTTGGAAACTGAATTTTGTGATATTTTAAGGCAGTCTGGCCCACATACCTGGCTTGAAACAAACCTGTTTCTCTGTTTCCATGCAAATGGTGTAAGAGCTTGGAGGTGGGGGCAGCCAGTGGAGGGGGGTGAGTGTGCCTGTCCTCTGCTATTTGGGAGGAACGGGGGGG